TGCCCGCTGGCGGGGCCGGGCCTCGGCCGGGGCCGCTCCAGAGGTGGTGGCTTATGGGGATACGCGGGTGCGGGCCGCCCGCTCCCTCCCCGCGCTCACCCGGCAGCGCTTCCACCGCGCACGGGGCTCTGCGGCACACGGAGAGGGGACAGAGCCCCCGCCGCGGTGGTGCCCGGTGGCTCCGTGCGGGGCTTTAGCCTCCGGACAGGACCCCGGAGGTCCCTGCTGGGTTCTTGTTTCTGGGGTACGGGGAGCAGAAAGCTGCTGCTCTTCTTCTCCCCCGCCGCGTCCCCTGACGCAGCCCCCCTGAAGTGCACGAAGGGTTGTGAAGGAAGGTTTAAAGAGTAAGGGGTAGCGTGGCTGGTGGCTGTACCTTCAGTGTATCTCATGGAAAAGTATTGTTGAATGAAGGAGCTGTTACGCTGACTGCCACGAGTTCCGACAGAATATCGGTTTTCCTCCCATGTATTTCAGGTGAAAGACGAGTTCTTGGAGAGTGACGTTGAACTAAGGCTGTCCAAATGCCAGCTCCCACCCTACAGCCTGTTGTGCAGCTCAGTGAGTAACCTTAACGGAGAACTTACTGTGTCTTTAAATAAGAATTGTCGTTGCCTCACGCTGTAAGGTGAGAAAGTCTTCTGGAAGACGAGGACGACAGTGACGCTTGGAGCTTGCTGGTATTGCTGGTCATTTTGGCAGAGAGCACAAAAAAGGCTGAAGAAGAGCAAAAGCCTGCAGGAACCTTCGGATTCTGGTTCTGCAGAGGGACAGTGCCCCTGGAGAAAGTGACAAAGCCCTGGTAGTAAGAAGAGCTTTTCTGGATTTTGTTATCTCTGAAAGCCAGTCCCTCTCCTATCTACTCTCTGCTTCCTTATCTCTTTAAGCTTCTGTCTTATTCAGTAGTCTTCATCTGTTTTTCTCTTGCCTTGTGTGTCCCATCACAGCAGTGGCGCTGCTGGAAGAAGACCTGCAGAAAGATGCACTAAAGTGTCAGTACATCAAAGAAGAAAAACTTGGACCCTGTCGTGGTGGCTGCTGTACCACAGGGTGCTGGAGAGGAGGAGAACTAGAGTGAATTTGCTGTAGTTCCCGAATCCGGCAGCGTTCCCTGCTAGCTCAGTGGTTGGTGTCCTCCGCTCCTGGACTTTGCTTGATGGGGATCTCTGCTGCAGGAGCAGTCTCTGCACTCAAAGGCAGGCGAGCAGGGATAGGAGAGGTTGTCTCTAGATGCCGGAAAGGCCGTTTTTATAAGCTTTTGGCAGAAGATCTTTTCTGGAACAGCTGCTGGCTGTAGGCCCACCAAGCCAAGGGTCAGGATAGCCTCTCTGCAGCATGTCTTCCAAGCCAGAGCAGAAGGAGACCCACCAGGCCAATGGGGCTGTGCTGCCCGTTGTGCCTGTGGACTGCCTCACCAGTCCGGACCGGGGGCAAATGGTGGAGCCCTCGAATTTTCTGGGACCTGATGGTGACAGGGTAGAAGTGGTGGTGTTGGAGTCCCGTGCCAACGCTAAAGGGGTGCGAGAAGAAGACGCCCTGCTGGAAAATGGCAGCCAGAGCAATGAAAGTGATGACACCAGCACAGACCGAGGTCCTGAGCCAGCCTCGCCCCTCAAGGAGACCTCCTTTTCCATCGGGCTGCAAGTCCTCTTTCCATTCCTCTTGGCAGGCTTTGGGACAGTTGCTGCTGGAATGGTGCTGGACGTTGTGCAGGTAGGATTGATATTTCCCTGGCACGGCTCTGGGCTCTGAATCCGGTCTCTGTAGGCCATGCTTGATCCCAAGTCAGGGGGGACTCAAATGCCAAATAGCATTGAGCACATAGCAACTATGAAGGGAGGAGACCAGTTACCATGTGTGCTGGTTGGGGTCAGAGGAGACAGGGGGAGACCTCGGTGATGTCTGGAGTGAGAGAAGAGGCTGTGGGCACCCCTGCCCTGCAGCTGCCCTGCTCCAGCTCGGAGTAGGAGGGTGCAGCTGGCACATGTGCAGCCAGAACATGTGCCTGGGAACTGACACCACCCTGTGCATCACGGCTTGAAATAAAGCACTTCCCTGATGGCATCTGTAGACATCCCAGTTGCTAGTTCCACAGGTCCTGTGTCACCTTTTCACCTTCGATGGTTGCTGCGCTGTTCCAGCACGCCGGGCTCATGCCAGCTGGGTTAATGATTTCTCCTGCCACGGTGTGTGCGGGAAGCTGCACGGTGGCTCACTCCGAAGGTCAAAGGCTGCCTCAGCAGCCCCTGCGCTGCCTCCTCTTGCTCTTGAAGTGGCTGGGGGCAACTGGGCTAACAGTGGTTCCTTCCCAAGTGGTGTGTGGAGGTGATTCTTAGGAAAGGCCAGCCAGAGAGCTGGCTGCTACCTCTGGATGAAAACTGATGTGTTACCAGATGTGATCTCCCATTAGCTCTCGTGGCAGGTGACACTGGGAACCCAACAGCCGTGCAGCTTGTTTAGGCTTTTTTGTGGGAAACGTGCCTTCGTGAAGCGTGGCTCCTGCGCCGGTCTCTCTAGCATGTGTTCTCCAAACGTGTGTCTCCGGCAGCAGATCAGCTGTTTAACCTCTTCTCCTTTGCTCTGAAAGACAGGCAGCACAGAGTTGTCTTGATACCCGGCACAAAACTCGATCATCTGTGCAGTGTAGGTTTATGAAACTATTTGGATGGAGGAGGCAGCCATTTTGGAGCTGTGGTCAATCAAAAATGCTCTGCTTGAAGCTCATCTGTTTGCTTAAGTGGGGTAAACAAGCCCTCGTAGTGTTGGCATAGAAAGACTCACATGTCAGTCACTTGTCTGTGTTGCCAGCAGTTACGATCATCTCCACCCGAGCTGTGTGCCAGTAGGGTAAGTCAGGTTTTTTCTGTGTTTGTGGGTGGTCAAGCAGACACTTCTCTTGCTTTCTTGCCCCTAATGGCTATTTCCCTGCATGCCTTTGCACACTGGTCATCCTTACGGTTTCTCTTGATGCAGCCTGTTGAGAGAGCTGTGAAGTGACTCAACAGGAAAGGCTGGCTACGCTAAATGAATCCGAGATAGATTTACTGGAATAATTTTCTTAAGAAAAAAAGACATTTCAAGCGTGTTTCCCTTCATGAAGTCCCTGTAAACTCATCCATGGCTCTTCTGGCAGTTTCCCAGGACCAGTGATTTTGAACCCAACCTAAAGCCTTTCCTGGAGAAGGAACAGCCCTTCTGGCCAGGGGGAGTGGGGCAGAGGTGCGATACTGCAGCTAAGTGCTGCATTCTCCTGTTTGATTTTTTTTATAGAAATAAAGCTTCATAATTCCTCTATCCCACAGTAGCTCAGCGTGTGGCTGTGCAGCTTGTCCTGCCAACTCTAACTCCCTTTAGCCTTGGGATTAAATGAGGGATCTGAATGCCATAGGGTGGAAAAGGGGGATGGGAAGCGTGCGGTCTCGGATTGCTTGCCTGCAGAGTCTGGGGAGTTGAGCTCGATAACTGGTTTCCCAGTGACTCAGAGCCTTGGATGAAAAGAGGGAAGCATGTGGAGTGGGTAACTGGTGCACTGGGGCAGACTGGAGTCCCGTTGCTTTGGATGTAGCCGTGGTTTGCAGTGGATGGAGGGCTCCATACACTCCATTTCCTCTGTTTTGGATAAACAGACTAATCAGCCAGCTGTAATTGGTCTCCCCACTGTGAAAACAAGCAGCCCTGGCCTCTGGCCGGGCTGGCCCATTAATGCATCCCTATGAATTTGCCTCTCAGGAGGAGAATTGGCCTCTGCTCCCTTTGGGATTGGAGAGACCTCTGGGCCAGGTGACCTGTGAGCATACCAGCTGCTTTTTTGTGTGCAGTAGAGGACTACTGGCACAGAGTCTCTCCCAGCAGAGTCTTCCAGACTTGTCTGCTCCCTGGAGAGTCTTTGGATGGGATGGACAGGGTCCTGTATGGAGGAGGGAGTCTGCTCGTTGCCCTGCCTGAGCACCTCTGGTGTTAACATCCCTCTGGGGCGGGTGGGGATTGCCAGCCCTGGAGCTGGACCTCTCCTGTTAAGGCCACTTGTTCCCTGGCATTTTGGAGGAAGGGTGCTGGCAGAAGGGCAGGGTGCGAAGCAGCCGTGCCAAGGCAGCCACAGCTCCCACCTGCAGCACATCCCTCCCCTCTGAGCTGTCGTGAATCACCATCCCGCCATAATCTGAGCAAAACCACGCTGTTACTCATAACTCATGTAAGCCCTAACTTTTCATGTAGTGACTGAAAATGACAGCAGCCGAGTGGCAGCTGTTACCCTGGAAATATCTGTTGTCTGCAGGTGCAAAGCTTCTGAAAGGCGCCGAGCCTGGAGGAAACTGCAAAACGCCACCTGGGGTTTGAAGTTTCTTCCAGAATCTGTGGCGGGTCAGGGTCTGATCTCGCCCCTCCAGTGCTGCGCGGGAGAGACCAGGGTCTGGTGGCTCTGGTATCTGGGCAGATTTGTGTTCAAAGGGACCACAGGCTTAGTAGAAAATGAAGCTGAAATAAATGAAACCTAGATTGCTTACAGTCTCCCTGCTCCCCCTCCCCAGAGGGCAGGGAGGAGGCGCTGGAGATGAAGTGCCTCTCCCTGTCATTCTCTTCCACAGCTCTGCTGAAACCAGCCAGGACCCCCCCTTGCTCCCCAGCACAGGGCGTTCCCCTTTGCATGGAGCAGACTGGACAATCTGGGAGAATCCTGTGTGCTGTGATAACCTCCCTCCTCGCCCTGAAAGCAGCCTATTTCTGTGCTTCTCAGAGGGGCTGTTACAGGGGGGAGAGGGATTTTAAAGGCTTGATGTCCTGAAGTTAAATTCATATTTCCTCTTCTCTTTTTTTTCCCTTTTTTGTTTTCCCCAAACAGTCTGGCTCTGGTTCTCCCTTCGGAGCCACACTGTGGGCACAGGGCTCTGCGGGAGCTTTCTTCTCTGCCGGAGCCAGGGAGACCTTCGAGGCGCACTGAATGCCCGTAGACCAGTGTTGTATAACATCTTATATTAAGAAAGTTGGCAGGAACCCATGGGTCCTGCTCTTTGCAGTGAGCAAGCTGCTGATGTCTGCAGAAATCTCCTTGTTTTCCTTCCCTGAAGATGGCTTTTATTCCCTTCTCCAGGAACACCCCTGTCTTGCTCAGGGAGCTGCTCTGGTTATAGCGGCTTTGGGCACCAGCTTGCAGTTCAACCTCCTTTAAAGGTTAATTTACAAAGCCAGGGTTGGGACAAGGTGAGGGAGGGCTGTGAACTTGTTCTAGCTATTGCCTGATCCTGCCTCTACTTCCACAGAAAGAGCCAGGAAACTTTTGCACAGCACTTCCAGCCTGCGGTCTGACTAATGACGATGTTCCTTTCGTTAAGTGATTTTGGTGACACCCAGCGTGTCCTGGGAAGTGGGAGCGTGGCGCTTGTTGACTGAATTCTAGACACTGCCGAGGGAAGTCGTACCAAAGGATTCACCGGTACAAGCAGCAGCAAAATAATCATAATGCTTGCCTAAAAATAGACCGAGGACAGCCGAGCTTGCCTGGTCCTAGATGTGACCTTAAAGGAAGCACAGCCTGATGTGCTGCTGTGTCAGATGAAGTATTTCAGACTGATTCTCCCTCCTGCCCTGCTCAGCAGTGAGCAGTGAACTCAAATATCCCCTGCTCGGAGAGTTGTGCTGAGCCAAACCCCTGCAGAGTGCTTCTGGCTGCTGTGAAAAGGTCTCCCAGGTCAGGTTTGCTGGTGCAGGGTGGTTGGACCATGGTGGTTTCCTTAGGTGCTGCCTGTGACAGCAACAGGGAAAGGACTGCTCGTTGCACGAGGAGAGTCTGGAAACTGGGTATCCTTAGGAGCCTCATCCTCGAGCAGAGAGGGGGTTGTGGCTGTGCCTCCAACAGCTGAGCAGCTTTCCTCTGCACCTGGGAGCTGGAGAGCGTGGCTAGTTTGTCTTCCCAAGCTGTCAGAAACATTAAAGGGATTTTTATTGACTGGAAAACAGGTTTTTTTCCCTTTGAGGAAAAATGGTCCCAGTTCATCCATCACAAGCACTTACCTGCCTCCTGTGCTCACAGTTTTTCAAGTGAGTGTGGCTCAGACATGGCATTGCAAAGGACCTGGCAGGAAACTGGAATTTGTTGGCTTGGTGGTGAAGGCAAGCAGCACAAAGGATGGAAAAATAAACAAAAATAACAGAAGTCCTTCCCCACAGGAAGGTATTAGTCATGCAGGTAGGGTGACTTGTATTAACTGTAAGTTGTTGGCTGATAGTTTTCCTTGTCCTGGAAAGAAATACATGTCCTGTTGGCCAGACGGTCTGACAGTGCCGAGGAGAGGGACGGAGCCCGTGGCAGGTAACGTTTGCAGGAAAAAAAGCTGCAAGAGCTGTGACTGTTAACATGTTCAGCACAGCAGCCAGCTGTTGAGAGTGCGATTCCAGCTGCACTCGGTGTCCTTTAAGAGTGTGGCAGTCAGGCGCTGTGGGAAGCAGGAGTTATTTTGGACACAGGGCCTTCTTGCAAAACATTCACTAAAATAATCAGGCAGTGAGGTTTGTGTAGCTTGCAGGGTTTTTTTTTTTAAATGCGGTTGTGAGGTTTTTTTAGGGTGGTTTTGTGTTTTCATGGAAGCCAGCTGCTCTTCTATAAGATGGCTCACCCTGCAATTACTCTTCCTTTTCTCCTAAATAACCATGGCTGCTCTTCTGCCTCACACCCAAGAGAGCTGACTTGGCTGTAGAGCCCGAGTAGTCAGTAGATCTGTGAGTAATGTAGGTGCCAGGGGAGGGAGGACACACGCCTCCTCGACGGGGATAGGGTTGAACGGAGGCCACGGTGAGCTGCTTTTTGTAGCTGGCAGGATCAGGGAGCAGCAGTGCCTTGCTCCAGAATGTATCTGTAAGACACACACGTAGGGAATGGCTCTCAGCTGAGACTGACTGAATTTCAGTACTCAGTTCTGCCAAAAACTGGAAGTTTGGGGCAAAGTCTCTTCATCGTTTTCTCTTTTGGCCTCTGTAATGCATAAACGTTTTGTCAGTGGTTAATCTTTGGGGGATTTTTAACTGAAAGCTGCAGGCTGAGATCCGGTTTTTAAGCTCAGCAGGAACACGTGGTCACTACTACACGAATGTCAAAACCAGTAAAATTGCTGCAAAATTCAAAGTGTGGCACCAGAAGGGGAACAGGGTTGCCTCCTCAGGGCCGCAGACGGGCAGTGCCGGGTTGCAAAGGTGGATGAGTAAGTGACACTCAGTCCAAAGCCATGATTATTTTTTAATGGTCTGTCTTTGATTTAATCTTGCAGCACTGGGATGTCTTCAAATACGTGACGGAGGTATTTATCTTAGTACCTGCATTACTGGGCCTGAAGGGGAACCTGGAGATGACTCTGGCGTCTCGCCTGTCGACAGCTGTGAGTATCCAGGGAGTGGAGGGAGGGAGCAGGATGCTGCTTTGGGAAGGGCTATGTGTGTGTGGTGGCTGGGCAGACAAAACTGCCCCAGTTAGTGACCCCAGCAACCAGAGCCTGGAGTTTAGCGTGCTGGGAAGGTGTGTTCATCCCACTGGACTGATCAGATTTGAAGGTTTAATAGTCCTTAAGCTTTGCTGACAGTTCATTTCCTAGTCACGGCTGCTCGTGGGCCTGGAGGGCACGGTGTTCGTGAGCTGGCTTTGGCAGTTTAATGTCTGGAGTGCTCGGATCCAGTTTTCTTCCTGAGGAAGCTGGGTGTGGGGCATGTTGTCAAAACAGGCTAAAACGAGCCAGGTTCGGGAGGACTGGGTGACGAGAGAGCCCGGAGAGAGCTGTACAGCAAAGGCCAAAACGGAGGGGACCTTGCAGTGAGAGCGAGCAGGTGGATTGACAGCCTCTTGAAGTTGATGGAGAGGCATGGCTGGGCATTTCTCTTGCTAGAATTCAGTCTGATTCCTGTGAAACAGTGAGCTCCCTGTGAGAGATGGGGGCAGGCTCTGTTAGCGCCTCAGAATACTGTGTTAGTCCAACTGTAAATGAATTGCTTTGTGTTTAAATGTTTCTATAACACAGCAGTCTGTCTCTGGAGCTGAGCAGCGCTGGAGAGAGACTGACATCCTCTCCTAACAGGGATAATAACACTCCTTCCTTCTGCAAAGCATCTTCTGCTTGAGCATGACAGCAAGCGACTGCCTGATGTTTCTCTGTTTCCCATGATGGGAGTACATACAGCTTTGAATCTTACATCTGCAAGGTGTTAGCTGCCTGCTGCCAGGCTTTTAACTCTGCTGTGCGTTGCTGGAAGAGCAGCAAGGAGCCTGGTCTTGGCCTTGACAGTGCAGAGGAGCTGATGCACCTTGGCCCGAGGGAGGTGCTGGCTGAGATGTAGGGATGGAGGAGTCCCTGGGTGGTAGCAGCAGGTGTAGCTAGCAGCGAGCGTGGGAGAGTGTGGAAAAGGTCTCTGTATATCTGCTCTCCTGGGTCCTTTCTTGTTCCTCCATCTTGAGCACCAGGGTGATGCCAGCTGTGACTTCTTTGCTCCTCAGTAGCTTGCAGCTAGCCCCTGAGGCCCCAGGTTTCTGGTGCATTCCTGGGTGGCAGCAGAGCCAACGTTTTGAGCAGCTCATCCAGCCCGTGTCACCGGCAGCCCCTTTTGTCCCTCACGCAGTAGCTCCCTGTGGGTACTCTAAAGGATGCTGTGCTCCTCCGCTGAACTGGTGGCACTTTGGCATCGTAATCTGTGGAGTCTGAGGTGGTTCCTGCAGTCCTTGGGGAGCAGGAAGGCCACCAGCATTTCTCTGGACTAGCCCTTGGCTCAGCCTCTGCACCCCAGCCCCTGCCTGTTGATTCCTGCCAACTCTGGGGACCGTCTCCTCCTTGGATTCAGCCCTTGCCTGTCGATCTCTGCAGGAGCAGGGCGCTAAGCTCCCTGGCGGGTGGCCGTGCCAGCATTACCTGGCAGTAGCTGGGCTGTGCCTGCTCCCCCTCGGCACTGGTCTCCTCTCCCCAGGCGCTGCTAGGGAGGGCAGAGCTGCTGGGAGGCTTCGCAGTGCCCCTGCCCAGCTGTGCTCGGGTGCCAGGGCTTGTAGGGACAGAGGCTGAGCGCTGCAGCTTGTGTGGCAGGCTGAGCTTTGTTTGCTCCTTCATTCTGGGAAACAAATCCCTTTGTTTTATTCCCTCTCTATTGTTTGGATCATGTCAGGATCCTTGCTGTCCCAGATACGGGCCGTTCTCCCTCTTGACCTTGGCCAGCCTGCACTCTCCGAGTGTGGGCTGATCGGGGTGAGCACTTGGCTCTCCTGGGACAAAGGCAGCACGACGCTTCTTCGTCCTCTTCCCCTATGGGGCTGGCATGGAGCAACGTTGGGGCAGGCTTGGCAGAGGAACGAGACTGTGCAGAAAGTCACAGGAATGCAAAACTTTCCCCTATCTGCTCTGGTGGCTGCAGCAGCATCACCAGGAAACTGGTGCAGAGAGCACCCGTCCAGTCCTGCCCATCTGCACCGAGCAGCCTTGGTGTCCTCGTGCCTCCTCCCGCCCCTGAGCTGAGGACTGGGGGGTGGCATTAGCCTCGTGGGCCAACACCCGGGCTTTGTCCTCTGCTGTCCTTTGCCCTGGCAGGGGAGAAGGCTGTGCTGCCTCCACACGAATCCTCTAACCTTGAGCTCTACCTCCTCGTATCTCCGCATGGTGGGGTAGGACGACCTCTTGGGCTTTTTTGTTTCTTGCCCTCTTCCCTCAGCGTGGGGGACCCACGTGCAGGCGTGCAGAGGGAGCTCCCCTCTGCCTAGGGCTTCATGGCCTGGGTCTCGTGCTCTCTCCACAGGAAAGCAGCCTGGAGTGGTTTCTCAGACTCTGAGTTTCTAATTAGTGCTGCATTAAGGCACCTCAGAAATTCCTTTCACAATTAAGAAGCAAAACTCTCCCATTAGTTAAAGGATTAAACTCCTGTTGCCAGTGACTACAGCTAGGTTATGTTAATCCCAACCTAATTGCCATGTGGCTGGAATTTTAAGGTCAGGCTTCATATGGAGCTCAGATTCCCGTGCTGGATGTGCTCAGTGCTACTCCAGTCAACTTTTTATTATTTTTTTCCCCCATTCCTTCCTTCTCTCCACTAAACTGACACGAATAATTCACTCCAGAGATGGGCACATCTCGGTGCTGGTTGAAAAGAGCTGGCAGTTCTCTCAAACGCATGCAGTAAGGAGAGCAGGAGGATTATTGATCACTGACTTCTTGGGTTTTTTAGAGCTCAGCAAGGAAACGTGAGAGAAGGAAACTGCTGCTGTATTGTTGTGCAGAAATTCTGAGTTTGACACTGGCAGCCAGTAACTCCCAACATCCATTTGCTGCTTCAGACTGTTTGAGCCTCCCCCTTGTCTCCTCCTCAAGTTCATCAGTGTCTAATAACACAGGATTGGATATAAGCTCATACCTTCTGCTTGTCCCTTCTTCCAACTTCCCATAAAGACCCAGAAGGTGCTGGGGAAGAACAGGATGCTGATGCTCTGCCATAACCAGCAACCTGCAGTGATTCTGCTGGGTTATTTTGGATCATCCACCAGGGAATTAAAGCAACTTTCCATCTCTCCTGGTTAGTCTGATTAGCATCTCCCGCAGTTGTAGCGGTGCCAGATGACCCGTGTGCCACGGCTGCTTCCCGCTACTCGCTAGGTCTCCACGTGGCATTAGCCTTGTTTACTCAGCTTTTAACTGAAACAGTAATTCTTGCTGCCAGCTTCCTCTGCCCACGTGATGCTGCTCTGGCCTTGGTCCGTGTCGGAGCTGGGACACACAGCTGACCTGAGGGTCAGTGCCCCCCGATTTCCCTCCTGGCTGGATGACCTGAGGGGCTGCATGACCCAGCAGGGTCTAAGCCAGGCTTGGCTTAATCACCAGCGGAGTGAATTCAATGAGTAAATAAGCAGCAGTGCGTGACTCTGCACGGGGACAAAGTATATCTTGTTGCTTTTGCAAGATTTTCATCAGACGTTCTACTGACGTCAATTCCCCTTTACGCTCCCTTCAAAACCCCCTCTGTAGTGGGTCTGGCTCCGCTCCTGCCGTGGGGGAGAGCGTCAACCCATTCCTGCAGCTGGGAAGGAGAAGGTGCTGCAGCTGAAACTGGGAACAGCTTTGGTGATCTGGAGTACAAGACCAGAGTTAACTTAGAAGTGGCGCTGTATTTACTCAGGGTGTATACAGCCTGAGTGACACAGACCGAGGTGTTAGTGCGGAGCTGTGCCCCAGCTGTACACAATACGTGCACACATAGACACAGGCGCCTTTTCTATTGAATCGCTCTCCTGTAAGAGCTAAGGACTTGAGGTCATTGTTCTCCTCTGCTCCTGGCACAAACTTGCATAGCTGGGAGGCAGGAATTTGATTGTTAGCAAGTGCAAAATGCTGTCAGTCTTCTATGACATTGTCGTGTCCTCTTGCAGGCTAATATTGGCCAAATGGATACACCCAAAGAGCTCTGGAGGATGATAACGGGGAACATGGCTCTGATACAGGTAAGAAAAAGTGAAAGGAGCAGAAAGTGAAAATACTGGTAGTTGGTTCAAGCCCAACTGTGACAAGTGGCAGAAGGTCTAAGTGCCTGTGGTTTGCTATCAACTGTCAGTATTGCATGTCTGATGGGGAGGCAAATGCCACTTCTTTTGTCCCACAGTCACCTCACCGTAATGGTTTGTCCTATAGGTTAAACCTGGTGTTTCCCCAGTGGATGCTAATCCACCTGAAATGGTACCCTGGGTGGTGTTTCCCTCTTCCCTCACCCCGGGACCGTTTTGCTCTCTAGTCCTCTTGGTGACTCTCTAGTTTTTATTTGCAGGTTCAGGCTACTGTGGTTGGCTTCCTGGCCTCGATCGCAGCAGTGGTATTCGGGTGGATCCCAGATGGGCACTTCAGCATTGACCATGCTGTCCTGCTTTGTGCCAGCAGCGTGGCTACTGCTTTTATTGCTTCCCTTGTTCTGGGTGAGAGACAGACCCTGCACACCCTCCACGCACCTCTTCCTAAAATGCTGGGCTCCCCTTGGCCTCATGCTGTTCTCTTCCTCTTGTTTGCTGTAGGCATGATTATGATCGGGGTCATCATTGGATCCAGGAAGATGGGGATCAACCCTGATAACGTTGCCACACCCATTGCTGCCAGCCTGGGGGATCTCATCACCCTGGCTCTGCTTTCAGGAATCAGCTGGGGCTTGTACAAAGAGCTGGGTGAGGAGCAACAAAAGGGTTTTGTCTCTCCCTGGTCCTTGCACGTGCTGCTGCATCTCCCTCTCATTTCACCCTCTTCCTTTACCCTTTCTGTTCTCGGGGTGTATAGGATGCCTGGCCTGGAAGCTACCTCAGTTAGTGAGACCTAGTCAGAACTGATAAGGGAAGGAAACGGACGTTCTTACTGCCTTGTAGCTGCAGACAGTCTTGGCAGTGATCTGCATACTTCCTTCTCATCAGGTAAAGTGATAAGGGAGAGGCTGTCCCCTTCCGAGTGCCAGGGGCTTGACTGTGGCTAAAGCAGAGGGAGAAGGCAGCTTTGGATTTCATCTTTTGTATCGTCAGCACCAGCTGGGGATGCTCAGTGCAGAGCTGCAGCTGTAGACTCTAGACTTCCTCCTCCCTCCCCTCCACCTTCCTTCCCTGCAGCTGGGATGCAGGGGATGCGACTCAGCCAGGTTCAGCCAAAGGTAAAGCAGCACTGGGAGGTCTTGCCCAGGGAAGTTGAAATGGAAGAGAACTCACTGGGATCTGTCGATAAAAGCCCCTGTGAGTACACCAGGAGAAGGAAATGCCACGTCCTGAAGAGATGAGGCTGGGCTGGTCTAGTTTGCCTGCCCTTACTGGAGTTTGTGACTCCAGGGGTGACAGCAGTCTGTAGACAGGCTTGAGCTCAGCTGAAGTAGCACCCCGCCTCACTGCAGCTGGATGTGGCCTTGCTATGTTGCCTCTGCTTATTTTCGCCCTCAGAGAGCAAAGCCTACGTGAATCCTTTGGTATGCGCCTTCTTCATCGCCCTGCTGCCCATCTGGATCATCATTGCCAAGAAGAACGCAGCGACTCGGGAAGTGCTGTACTCTGGCTGGGAGCCAGTCATTATCGCCATGGCAATTAGCAGGTAGGAGGGCGTGGAGGAGCTCCTCTCCCCCCGACACACACGATTCACCCTTGCCCCTGGCCCCTTCAGCCTCTTTGCCCTTTGTAGAATTCCAGAATCTTCTCGGTTGGAAAAGCCCTTGCAGCTCCTCCAGCCCAACCATGAACCTCCCCCTGACCGTTCCCAGCTCCCCCAGATCCCTCAGCGCTGGCTCAGCCCGACTCTTCAACCCCCCCAGGGATCCCGGGGACTCCCCCCTGCCCTGGGCAGCCCATTCCAACGCCCAACAGCCCCTTCTGCACAGAAATCCTTCCTCAGAGCCAGCCTGACCCTGCCCTGGGCAGCTTGAGGCCATTCCCTCGGGGCCTGGCGCTGGGGCCTTGGCTCCAGAGACTCATCCCCCCTCTCTGCCCCCTCCTGGCAGGGAGTTGCCGAGGGCCAGGAGGTCTCCCCTCAGCCTCCTCTTCTCCAGACTGAACCCCCCCAGTTCCCCCAGCCGCTCCCCAGCAGACCTGTGCTCCAGACCCTGCCCCAGCTCTGTTTCCACCAACACCTGGTAGATTCTGGAACACGAGGGAACCAAACCTCTTCTGCGTCCCCAGTCTGGGCTGCCAGGAAACTGGAGGTCATTCTGTGTTTTCTGGACAGACACAGGGCTCTAGATCCTGAGGCACAGGAGTGATTAAGCACCTTCCTGCTGGAATCCAGCAGTGTCCCAGCGGCGGCCCAGGGAGGCTCTGGCATGGCCACGGAGTAAACACAGATCCCGTTGGGCAATCCTCTGTGCACAAGAGCCCTCTCTGCCCTCTGAAGGGCAGGATTCCTTTTGATGACTGCGTTCCCATAAACTACATCAGGGAGTGTGTAGTCTTTGATGGTTTTTAGCAGCAATGAGACAAGATCCTGCTCAAACTGTTTTCTTTTATCAAATATTGAGGCTTAAAATCCCGTGCGAGAGCCGCAGCCCTAGGTGCATGTTAGCAGGTGTGTGTATCACCCCTGGGTGTGCACAGTGCACCAGAGAGAACCCTCGGTGCTCTCTGTGAGCGTTTCCTGACAAGCTTTCAGCACTGACCTCTCTCCCTCTGCAGTGTTGGGGGTTTAATTTTGGACAGAACGGTCTCGGACCCAAACTTTGCTGGGATGGCTGTCTTCACACCGGTTATTAATGGTAAGTTCCTTTCTGTTCTGGTATTGCAGCTCTTGGAGACTCCTGGCAAACAGTGGAATTGCCGCGTGTGCCTTATTTCAGGCAGATTGAGGAGACTAATTCCCTCTTGATTGCCAGTGAGAGGCAGTGGTTTGACTGAAGCTTTACATCAGCGTGGCTCCCCCTGGTGCCAGCCTTTCACGGGAGGGCAGCTGGCCTGGGAGGTTGTTGCCTAAAAAGACACATTTTTCCAGGGGCCCAACGAAAACTGCCTTTATTTTCTGATTCCTCCTGGCTGGTGGAAGACCCCCCATCTTCCAGGATACGTGCCTTGTGGCACCTGGTGACATAAAGCTTTGGATCTGCAACTCGGAGTCAGGAAATCTAATTGCTTCTGGTATAAAGTTTTGACCTGCTTTCTGCCTAATGAACCAAAGAATTTCTTTTTTTTTTTTTTTTTTTGCAATACACGGAGTTTATTCTGAGCCATTGCATCTTGTGCTAGCGGATTCCACAGTTTCATTATGCCTCGTGCAAAAAATACTTTTAAACTTCCTGTATCTGTTTTGGTGGCTGACTCATCTTTTTTTTTTTTTTTGTTGTTGCACATATTTCTTCCAATCAAAGCTGTGGTGATAGAATTGCATCTGTTTGCTAAGGGGCCTAAGGGGAAACCATAGAACAGTGTGCTTTGTCTCAGCCCTTTACATCCTGCAAAAGTGGAGATCAGGTCAAAAATAGACTGTCCTACATTATTCCAGCACCTGGCAGTTCCAGATCTGCTGGCTGTTGAAAATAGCTCTTTCTCTTCAAAGTGTTTGAGACATCATCTTACTGCTCTCTCCTCCTTTGCAGGTGTGGGTGGCAACCTGGTGGCAGTGCAGGCCAGTCGCATCTCCACGTACCTGCACATGAGTGGGATGCCTGGAGAGAGCTCCGACACAGCCCCCCGCAAGTGCCCCAGCCCTTGCAGCACTTTCTTCAGCTCAGGTATGCGAGTCGGGTGTTGAAATATATCGACTTCTGCCAGCGGCAGTTGGTGCCATCGGCTGAATAAACTTGTCTGGGACAGTCCCTGGAGCCCTGTCGCAGGAAATGGTGGCTGAAGTCTGCTGGGAGGCAGCTGGCAGCTCGGGGGTGTGCTGGTGCTCTGCCCTGGCCTGCCCTCTAGAGACGGTCAGACCTGGAGCAGAGCTGCTGTGTGACAGCACGGCTCTGCTGGAGGAGGAAAACGGGGTGTGCCAGTCCCATGCCCTGACTGCCTAGCACTGTAAATCCTCCACCCTCTAAATCTTTTCCAGATGTGTCCAGGATACTGGAACCTGCCTCGAGGCTGCTCGAGCGTCGCAGCTCTGCTGGGCTTTTAGAGCTGCACTTACAGAAAGCTGCTCACTTACAAAGGCACCCTAGCAGCTCTGTTATTTGTGGCAGTTGTGGGGCAGGGCACAGCCCGAACTCGCATTCCAGCGCAGAGTGTGGGCAGAGGCTGTTGCTCTCCAGACTTTATAGAGGCTTGACAGCCTGCAGCTGGGTCCCGGCCTTCTGGGCCAAGGCTGTCCCTGAAGAGCAAGGAGGGGTGAGAGGACTCCAGCGTGGTGGTGATCTGTTCAAAAACTGATCACCAGACAAGGTAGAGACAGAGCTGCGAGGAAATTCAGTGTTCACGGTAAATTCCTGACAGCAGTGTCAGAGGTGGGACGTGAGTCCTGTGGGCAGCTGAGGTCTGAGAACAGCTTTTGCTCTGGGGACAGAATTAAGCTCTCCTACCAGGCTTGGTGCAAAGAGTCCTTGGGCATCCTGACAGTTTGATCATCAACCAGGCGCTGCCTTCCAGCCTAAATCAGCTTCTGATTTGGCCGTAGTTCCGCTGCCTTGTCCCCTGGAGCCCACGGGGGCCACAGAGTTGCTGTGTTCAAATCCATCTTAAGCCTGAACTCCATCTTTGTTTCCTTGCAGATGTGAATTCCCGCTCTGCTCGTGTGCTCTTTCTTCTGGTGGTGCCCGGACACTTGGTTTTTCTTTACACCATCAGCTCCATGCAAGGTGGACACACAACGCTCACCCTGATTTTCATCGTCTTCTACATGACGGCTGCACTTCTCCAGGTAAGCTGGAGCCCCCCGGGGCCGTGGCCCCTCGGGTGGGCAGGAGGGGACGGGCCCCTTCAGCCCCTCCAGCTGTAGTTACGTTGCTGAAGGCAGAGCGATACGCCCTGTCCCGAGGTAAGAGATTTATGTGCTGGGGAAAGGTGTGCCGAGTAGATTGTATTTGTCAAATAAGCCGGTATCAAATGGAATAAACCCCTCTTTGTTGATACCTGTACACACGCTTTTTCCTTCCTACCATTCTTGGCAAGTTCTGAATCTGTCTTTTGTCTCTTATAAGTCCTTCTGATAGCAGAAGCATTTACCTCGTATGTGTTAATCTATCCTATAAGGTGCTTTAGCAATTTTAAAGCGGCTGGTGAGCAAAACAGGATGTGAGACACTTGCAGGGCTCCTTGTGCTGCCCTTTCCCTGCCTCCCCCTGTGGCTGCTCTGATCAGGGGGTTCACGCTGCAGAAATCCAGTGCCCGCTCGCCTGGCTCCTGCATCAGAGGGCAGGAAAGTCCCTCGGGTTTGGGAGGTTCCTGCTGAGCCCAGTTACGCTCCCCCTGCTCACCCCCTCCGCTGGGGAAGCTGCGCCTGGTTTCGGTGTTCCCTAAAATCAACAACCGAAGCCGGCGCGAGGAAATGAGTCAGAGCGTCCATCAGGGGCGAGAGCAGAGCGCTGTCATCCAGGAGGCTGAATTTGGGTGCTGAACTCCTGCGGGGTGCTTGGGCCCTCGGTGGGGGTTTCTGCTCTGCCACGCACAGGCCGGAGCCTCAGGAGCTGCCGGAGCAGGAGCTGGCAGCCACGGGGCCACTGTGGGCCAACTGCCACCGGCCTGAGGCCTCTCAGCCCCGCCGGCACCACAGGCGTTAGCCACAGGCCTGTGGCCACTTCAAATCCTCGTCCCAGAGCTCCAAGGCAGATTTCTTGTGTCTGTAGATACTGATACGAGCCTCTCGCAGGTGGGGGAGAACGTCACTCTCTGGTAGTTGTGGCTGCTGGGCTGTTGCTCTTTTATTTGTGGAAGCCGGGTGTTCTGTCCCAGCCCCAGCATCCTGCCTGATCCGAGCCCTCTCTTTGCCCCCGATCTCTTCGAACTTATTCCGGTTAGATCTGAAAACCGAGATGCAAAATTCAGATGTTTGGGTGCTGGAGTTCTCCCTTCTAAGCCTCGATTTGATGGTGACACGTGAAGCTAAAGGAGGGCAGGGCAGAGGCTGTTCAGGACAGGCTGTTGCTTAAACTACAACAGGGGAGGGTCAGACTGGACACGGGGGAAAAATGTTTCCCAGCAAGAGTGGTCGGAGAGTGGAACAGGCTGCCCAGGGAGGGGGGAGTCCCCGTCCCTGGGGGTGTTTAAGGGTTGTTGGGATGAGCTGTGGGGGGATGTGGGGTAGGGGAGAACTTTTTAAAGTTGGGCTGAGGGTTGGACTCGGTGATCCCGAGGGGCTTTTCCAACCCGAGTGATTCTGTGACACAGGGGATTTGGGTGCCCAGGGGCCCACCAAAACTCCCCAGGTTCCTCTCTGTGCTGTCCCAGTTGCTTTGGGGATGCAGCCCCCACTAAATGCCTGGAGCGTGGCACCCAGCGAGGTGGCTCTGACCCCCCACAGCCCCACTCCTCGGGGTGGGATTTTGCCTCTCCGAGCCCAACCCACCCACCTGGAGTCACCCCAGGAGGCTCCACGAGGACGGGGATGGCCAAGGTCGGTGGCTGATGTGGCTCTTTTCTTCCTGCCTCCCAGGTTCTCATTCTCCTGTACATTGCTGACTGGATGGTGCACTGGATGTGGGGCAGGGACCTCGATCCTGACAACTTCTCCATCCCATACTTGACAGCGCTGGGGGACCTGATTGGAACAGGCCTCCTCGCTCTCAGCTTTCACGTCCTCTGGCTCATCGGTGACCGGGACTCCGATGTGGGAGACTAGCTCTCCCTGCTGCCCCCCTCTCGCAGCTCTCCTCCTCCTCCTCCTTTCATTTCATTGTTGTTTCTTCTCCTCCACCCTTGCTCTTCTTTGCTTCCTCCCTCCACCCTGTCTCTCTTGAGACTTCATCTTTGATACTGGATTCTCATTATTTTCAATGGGAATTTTATGTGGTTTATATTTCAAGCCAAGTTTGTACAGAAAATAAATCTAGTTTTAGGAAGGACAAAAAAAAAAAAAAAGTGTAATGAGACAATCACCAAGTGCAATTTCATAGCAGTTATGTCTGAACCAAGGCTACAGTGAAGATAGTGATCAGTCAGATCATGCAGGGAGCCCACCCTGTCCCTGTCACTGGAGGTGCAGGGCTGCTTTTTTTTCGCTTCATAAGCGTTTTAAAAACTGGAGGTAAGGTTCAGATTTATTTTACTGAACAGGCACCTTCTAGCAAAGTACAACCTCATGGAGGAGGGTGTGGGGGGTACCTCCTGTCTTCTCTGCCCTGTCACCCTCTGCCCTTGTGTTCACCCTCTGAATCCCCTGCCCGTGCCGAGCACCCAAAGCACGTGAGTCTCTGGTAGAGGGGTTCAGCCACGATGGTGAGGGAGGGTCCTCTGTGCCCTCGAGGACAGTGAGCGATCGCGGGTTTGGGGGCTGCAGAGCCCTGAAATCTGGCTGTGAGCAGGCTGGTCTCTGCTGACAGATCTGGGCTCCCTTTCGCCCACCATCCAGCAGCATCTCAGAGTTGTTCTGCCTCTCGCCGGGAGCCCAGTTCAGCTGCTGCTGCTGCGTGCAGAGGGACACGCTCTGAGCTCGTGGGCTCTCCCCACCCGTCCTCCTCCTCCCCTGCTGCTGGCCACTCCCGGCGTGCGTGGAGGCTGCAGCCTCTCCTTTGTGCTGGTGTGGGCACAGCACTATTCTCATGGCAGCCTGCTCAGTTCAGTTCGGTTTTCCTTGTCTGGAGGGGTGGATGGAAAAATACATCCTGTCTTGTGCGCTAAGATTTTTTTTCAGTTGCTGAGTGCTGCTGACGGGCCCTTTGCAGCTGGGAAGAAGCCACCTAACGCCTCGCCCAGCTGAGCCTGGGGCATTCCAACTTGGGAGCGTTAGGTTCTTGGTGTCTCTTGGAAGAGGGAATCCATGTCCAGCCGCTGGATTTCTCTGCGTAGGCACCAGCTGGAAAACAGCTCAGCGGGCGCAGTCGGATTTCCGGAGCCCTGGTTCGTGGTGCAGCTCTGTACCACGAGGGGCTGGAACCCTTGAGCAGGCTGTAAACTGGTGTCAGGGTTAGAGCCCAGCCTGCGAGCGCTGGCCGAGCGCGGGGTTCCCCGCTCTGTTTCCCCTCTGCTTTTTGTGCTTTTCAGCTCGGTGATGGCTGAGGTGCCTTCTCCTCCGCTGCTCGTGCATGCTGGCAGGGCTCTTGTGCAGTCTGCAGCGGCGTGATGACAGAAAACCTCTTCTGGCTGAGTGACTGAGGCGTTTGGAAATGATCTTCCTGAACGCTGTCGGCACTCAACGCTTTTTAGTTTTCCCATTTAGACTGAGTGCAGTTTGATGTAAGCAGGTCTTAGCAACTTGGAAACTTCACCCAGTTACCAAGTTTAAATGATGTGCTCAGGCAGACAGCGCCATGGAACAGGCTCTAATGCTCAAATATAAATTAAACGCGTAAGCGTGCACGGGGGGAGAGCTCTTAACATCTGTCAAGCGTGGGGAAAATCCAGTATAACCCACGGAGCCTGATGTCAGCGCTGCACTGCGCAGGGCTTGGGGAGCTGCCCCTGTCTTCCCGAAGGCCGGGGCAATGCCCACGGCGTGCAGGGTCAGGATGTGGGGTGCTGCTGCGCTGAAGGGGCAGCAAGGCTCCCGGTTTAGCTGGGTGCACGGGCCTGGGGGGCTGCAGCTCTGCTCCTGGCCGGCACGCTGCCTGTCCGACTTATTTGCAGCTCCACAACCACCTAAAAGCTGCTGGATTTGTGGTTGTCGGCTTCTCCTCTTGCTTTCTGTGTTCCTCACAGCAGAACACGACCATCCTTGATTGGCCTAATTTCCTCCTTTAGGTTAACTTCTGTATTTCTCAGACAGACCGATGTTTGTCTTCTCCTTCTGGCTTTCTGTCCCCACAACGTTGGGCATCGCTGCTCGGCGGGCAGACGTGGTGCTGGGAATTCTCATCTTCATCTGAAATAAGGCTGGGCTGGGAGATCTGTTTGTTACTCTGCACAATGCCAGAACTGGCTGAGCTCTACAAAGCCCTGCCTAAGTACAGACAGTTTTGCTTTTTGGGTGAGGAGTGATTCCTTAGGAACAGTTCCTGCCTCCCCCCAGGAAAGGGATGGGCCAAGTCAAGACCAAAGTTAGTCTGGGATGGGGCATTGTCCCAACCTAGAGATCTGGGGGCAGAGCTCTGGAGACGAGCGTGTTGGAAAGGAAGGTCGGGATTAGGGGGTGGGATTGATGATTTTGGAGATGACTTCCCCCTTGCCCCCCCCCCAGTGTAACGTCGGGCTTGCTCCCCCTTTTCCCCCCTGCAGTCTGAACCTCGCGCTCTGCACCCTGGGGACGGGGCTTCTCGTTTGTCCAAAGCTCTTCCACAACAGAACACAAAACCCTGCTGCTCTGAAGTCTCGGCCCAGGGGCTTCAGGAGTATTCTCTGCTGCTCACCTCATTTCTCTGCCTAACGCTGAGGAATAGATACGAGACTCCTTCCATTAACACTTAAGCTTTTATGTGTGTATATATGAGAAACTCTCCTGGCCTTTTAGGGGTCACATCACTATTTAGTTCCCCGAGAAAAGATTCCCTGGGGAAGAGGCTACTGCTCGTGTAAAATGAAGACCCAGAGGTGACTGAGAGCTGTCACGCTGCTGGGCTGATGGTGTCCCTACGTTTATAGAAGGTCTAAGGTGCGTGTGGGGAATAGGTCTGGGAAGAATCTAATTTAAAATTGAAGAATATTGATGGTCAGAGACTTTTCCCACCAGTTGCACTCAAATGCATGCCTACTATACAGCTGACTGCAAATGAAAAATACTGGTTTACTCTTTTTATTAAAGGAAAAAGACTGTCTTAATTATTTATAGTTCCTATAACTGAATTGACAGATGTCAACTTAACTGATAAATTATATTTGGTTAAATAAAGATGACATTTATTTATGTGGACTGTGGTGTCTTTCCTTCACACGCCTCTACTTGATCAAAGGTCTCTCTTCCATGTTTTGCAGCTTATTTTAGCTTATGGTGAAGCTCTTTTGATACACAGTGGGATGAGGGTTAAGCAAATCAACTACATCGCTGTTCCTGGAGCAAACGGGGCTCAGTATAAAGGGCAGATTTCTGCCTGGCTGGGGCTCTGCCCTTGCCTGGACCCCGGCAGGAACCGTCGGGGTTTGTGCTGGGCCGGTGGCTGCGTGCGGGAGCCGGGCCCTGCCTGGGACGTGGGGCGGGAGGGTCCTGCCCGCTCCTGGGGGCACACGAAGGAATCAGTGGCTGTGGGAGGGCTCCCCCCACCCCGCGCAGCTGTCGGTTGTGTTGCTGTGGACAGTTTTGCAGCAGGACTCGGGTTCCTGGCTGCTCCCCCAAACAGGGAGCGTGGGGGCAAAGTTCTAAACCCTACACCAAAGCCCCAGCAAGGCCGGGGCTGAGGCTCTAACAACTCCTCGGGCCCCGTGGTTGTGGGTCCTTTCCCAGCCCTGCTGAACGTCGGGGTGCTGAGGCGCAGGATGGGCCCTTTGGGGGCTTGTTCTGGGCACGGGGGGAGGGTTGGTTTGACTTTTCTGGGTGGGGGAGAGAGCGATGGGGGAAGCTACGGAGCGTGTGTTACAGAGAGAAACGTCCCGGCATCGCTGAACACCTTGGAGGTGTCACCACGGCACTGCTCTGAAATAGATACGGGGGGGTCGGGGGTTCTTGTGATTTGCCTGCTGGTTGCAAAGGGGCTGGGGGAGCCGAGGGCAGGGCCTGGGGTGCGTGGGGCCGGCTCCGGGGG